TAAGCTATTAGCAAATTGGCCTAGCTTATGTTCCTTAGGCCCCATCTACACCACTGGTCAGTGTAAGAACAGCTATGCAGTCTGCCGGTGGTGGGGCCCTTAGACTCTCATTGAAATGCTCACTCTCAAATTGACAGTGTTTATCATCCACAGGGGAACGCTGGGAATGCATCCTAGGCTTATTCCCCTGGAAGCAATAAAGTTCGTACAGCATCCAATACTAGCACAAATAAAATGTGGCCAAGTGGCCTCTTAACATTGTAAAGGAGTCCTCAGGTCTCAATGGTCTGTTCCTGGGAGGCCAGGCAAAGAGGTCACGCCACCCTCTGAGCTCCCCTCTCAAGCCTATGCCCACAACTTACACCCACATGAGTCCTCTGCTTACAGCACAGCATGGTACAGCACAGTCAAGCAGCCTCATTGTTCTCTTTGGCCCAGCACACAACAGCACAGCATTACTTTCAGCAACCTCCATGGGCAGTCTATCTCCGGCTGGTAGCCTGCAAGTCTCTCCTGCTTTGTTTCACATCAAAGCCCTCTCTTGCTCTCTATGGCAGCACTGGTATCCTGCTCACCACACAGTCCCCTGTGCTATTTGGCAACTTTGCCCAGCACACAGCAGCCTTCTTCTCCGGCTCCCCACCATTCTGCTCCCATGTTTGTAGGGTGGGAAACAAGTCCTCTGTGACTTCTGGAATGCTCATGTTGTGCAGCTCCCGCCACTTAACAGGCTATTGGCCAGGGCTACATAACTTTATGGTAACAATTTGGGGAGGACCTATTTCTTTCCAGCATGACTGTGCCCATGTGTACACAGCCAGCTCCATAAAGACATGATTTGATGAGTTGAATGTGGAGGATATTGGTTGGCCTTCACAGAGCTTTGGCATCAACACAAATGAACCCCTTTGGGATGAATTTTAACACAAATTTCCAGCTATGTCTTCGCATCCCATATGAGTACCTGATCTCACAACCGCCATTTTGGCTGAATGGGACACTAACACAAAATATTAATACCCATGGTTTGGAATGGGATATCCAGCAAGCTTATAGGGATCAGGCCAAATAGTGTGTGTGTGTGTATATAGTAGTATCCATAAACCATATTATAATTTGTTTAGTGTTACTTTAAAGTGACATTATTAAAGAGTTCCTAGGGCAGCACCTCTGGGAAATACAACTCTGTATATTTGCTCCATGTAATCTGTTAATAGGCCATCTGACATCCAAGTCTCGTCTCCGGGGGGCCAAAGTCTTGCCATTGTGACCCCCTGTGCTCCATATAACCACTGATTGTGATATGTTCCCTCATTACCTGCCTCCTTGCCTACAGTCCCCAGCCAGGAAACACATTGCTGCTTCTGTACCAGCAGAACCGTAAACAAGCTCATCCCTGGAGTATGGAGAACCCACTGAGAGGGCACCGCACCCGTCGCACTGCACACATGAGTGCTTCTATCCACGTTACATCATTCTGTCGCCTTCACCTGCTGACTCTTCAGTTAAAGGGGAATATGAGAAATTTAAAGGGAATATACATTGAAATGTTTCTCTTTTCTACAATTAATCCACTGTGTGGATTGAGCAGTTGGTTTGACTTGCAGTTTTCAGTGAAGGTTATGAATTTTTATCACATTCTCAGTTTCACTTGTTTAGGGTTTGTGATGAGTTTACATGATGATGAGTTTACAATAAAACTGTACCTGTTGGCATATTAATACATAGGGGTTTGTTGATAACCAATTCGCAGATCCATTTGCCCTACAAATCTTTCTAAATGTTCATTCTGTGTGAATAGACACACAAACGAAAGTTCTTTGATATATTTTTTCGGGTTGAATATATGTATGTTATGCAGTACTGCACTATGGCCAGTAGATGGAGCTGAGGTGCACATAAATGAAATAGTTATTTCCTATACTCAGCTCCATCTAGAATGTTCATTTTTAAATCTATTTGCACAGAACAAATGTTCAGAAAGATTTGTAGGGCGAATGGCTCTGCGAATGGGTTATAAATAGACCCCCTAATGTTTCTATTTGTTACTTTTATTTATGTATTCACACTTATCTGCTTTCATGCAGCAAAATTCATGCATTTTGCTGCATAACGATGAATTGCAAGTTAAAATCCCATTTGAAAATTTAGTTGGGGCCAAGCCACACCCAGTAGGGCTAGCTAGGGAGTGACTCCATAGAAACAGGCGAACAGCCTCGTGTTGCTGGCACGTTTTCACCATCGACAGGATCGCTCATGTGGCATGGCCTTTAGGCTGAATAAAAGGATGTAAATGAGGCTCTACAGTAGTGAGATTTAGTAGGACGGAGAGGGAGGTAAGAGTATCCCATCCAGTTTAATATAGAGATTCAGTGCCTGGCCTCCCATTCACTTGAAGGTCGTTTCCCGGGGCGCTGCTTAGCTTTAAATTACAGGTTTGTTCTTTAAACTTCAAACACAAGTGTTCTGGCACTCAGCATTTTCACAGAATGGAGGTTCTATTGTTGGGCTGCCAAGCCCGGCCCGTGGCACAGACTTCAAAAACAACACGGGGGAGAATTGTCCTCGGTTTGTCAAGGGAAAAAAAAAAAGCTCTCCTTACAGCTGTGGCCGGGGAACGTTGAGATGGAGAGCAGATCAATGGCTTGGATAGAGCACAGATGCAGAGAAAGGTCTACAACAAATAAAGTTCTCAATTTGGCCATCTGAGGACTCGGTGAAAGTGTTTCCAAAGAAAAAAGTCTG